TTTTGGGGTAAAGGAACTCTTTGTATTATTTGCTTTAAAAAAAAAATTTGTTTATAAAAGTGACACATCTATCATTGTTAAATCATCATCATGTCATTTCAAACCTGCTGTACTGTTTTGACTTATTTCATTGCACACAGAATGAAGAATTTTGTTTTTTTCATACAACAGAACATGTAGTGACTAGTGACTGTCAAGCGCCAAACAGGACAAAAAAGCCCTATAACAGTTCTTCATAAAAATGTTCATGTTATGGACATAGAACCTTGGTGCACTGTTTTTTGTTGTGCAAAGGTTTGATGACCATGGCACTAAACTGCTTTGGGATATTGCAGACAAGACATGGACAAATTTTCTGAGACTTTTTTGTGTTTTTTACTTGGTCACTATGTCACTAGTATGTTACTGCAAAACACCTTATGTTCCACTGAATAAAAAATTATACAGGTGTAACAACATAAACATAATAAATTATGATATTTTGGGGTAAACTATTCCTTTTACTCTCATGACTAAATTGGACTTATTAGAATATTATGTAGTCTAAAATCTATTAACAATCATGTTTGTTTTCTTAATACTTTTATTCAGGAAGTAGCATTAAATTCACTAAAAGTGACAGTATTTTTTTTTTCTTTTTTACATGTCTCGAGCATTCAAACTTTAAAAATGTAAAATTGTAATAAAATTTCACAATACCGCTGTATTGTTACTGTATTTTGTTGTGCAAAGGTTTGATGACCATGGCACTAAACAGTGCTTTGGGATATTGCAGACAAGACATATGGACAAATTTTCTGAGACTTTTTTGTGTTTTTTACTTGGTCACTATGTCACTAGTATGTTACTGCAAAACACTTTATGTTCCACTGAATAAAAAATTATACAGGTGTAACAACATAAACATAATAAATTATGATATTTTGGGGTAAACTATTCCTTTTACTCTCATGACTAAATTGGACTTATTAGAATATTATGTAGTCTAAAATCTATTAACAATCATGTTTGTTTTCTTAATACTTTTATTCAGGAAGTAGCATTAAATTCACTAAAAGTGACAGTATTTTTTTTTTCTTTTTTACATGTCTCGAGCATTCAAACTTTAAAAATGTAAAATTGTAATAAAATTTCACAATACCGCTGTATTGTTACTGTATTTTAAATAAATAAATGCAGCCTTGGAGAGCAGAGAGGTCTCTTTAAAAAAAAAAATAATAATAATAATAATAAAATCTTACCAACCCCAAACTTTTGATAGTCTATTTGCAAACAAAAACAAAATGCTCTTTTGATCTGGACAGCTTTTACTTTTTACATTCAACCTCAGAATTTGCTATTGGTGATTTATTTGTTGTCTTTCTTTTGCAGCATGTTTGCTCAGAGTTAAACTGATCCTGTAATCTGGAGTCCTTCAATGAAGAAGAGAGCTGTGAAATGGCCATCGATGCTGCTGTAGTCATTGAGTCTATGGATGTTACTGATGACATTTCACAAGAAGAATTGGAGGAAATGCTCAAAGAATACATCATAATAATGGAGGTCTAATATATTTTTATTCTCCTCATCCACTTTTTATTCTGGTACTTTTATATATCATTTTGAAACATAATTATGGCTTTCACAGATGGATTTTGGGCACAAATGAGAAAGTTGTCATGGTTATCAATGTAATTTCTATAAAATATGACCTTACATGACATCTCGTTTCAGCAACGGAAGAAAATGCTTTTGACAGTCCCAGAGTTCTACAGCTACTACACACCCAACCTGCCAGTTCAGGTATTCAAATCTGTGAAAAACTTTTCAACAAACCTATCTGCCGTACACAAGCTGTTAAAGTACAGAGAGGATCTAGAGTATCGGGTCATTCAATTTCCTGTGTGTCACATAGAGGAGTAATAAACGCAGGGCTCATCACAGCCAGGTCACCTGATTTAGGCAAATCCGTTTGATCGGTACGCTCATGATTGGCATACCCATTAAAGAAACATTGCAATGTGCCTCCACTGGTTTCTCAAGCGGAAATGTCCGAATGCACTCATTTGACACTGACCCTGAGAACACATTATCATCAGTCATCTTATTTCCTGTGTGTCTTTCTTTCTCTGTTTCTCTTGTACTCAGATTCAGCAATGTGCAGAGCTTGGTAGAGTGTGCCTTCTTCCCTCAAGCTCTGGAGGAGATTCTGGGGTCCCTGCAGCCTGGAGTGATGCCCCCAGTCACGCACTGCATGTATGTATAATAAGAGCTATTCTAAATCCCAGAGGCACTTATAAAGCACTGTTACATTCAGTTGGTGT